CGCCCCCAGCCATGGTGGCGGGGCTGAGGTCTTCTCAGAGGCCGGGGGCGGGACGGCGCGGGCCCTGATTAAAGTGCCACGGCTGTTTCAGCGCTGCAGAAAGGAGGGATTCTCCAAGGCAGAGGTTGCGGCAGGCGCGGATCTCGCAGGAGCTGCTGTGGTAAGGGCTGGCTTCAGGGAGGGCCTCCTCGTCTCTGCTCCCGTGGGGCCGCGGGCGCTCAGCGGGAAGCCCTGGCGGCGGCCGCGGGGCCGGGGTCTCCGGTGGACCCCGCTCTGCGCTCTGGGTACCTGGGTGTAGGAGAGCGCTCCGGAGGCTGCGGCCCTGTCCCGAGAGGGGAACGTTGAGCCTTGAACTTGTCATCGTCCACCCACCACCTGCGGCCTGGGGGCTCGGCCCCTCACCCAATTCTCCTGGGTTAGGTGGAAAGATGGGAATAGTGTGAAAAATGGCACCGGGAGCATCTTGCCCAGCACCCATCCCGTCCCCTCCCACTCCTGGGTGACCCGCCTTCCTCACCCCAATTCATTTCGTTTCTGAGCACTTGGGCTTCAGAGTCCATTCCTTGCCTGATCAGAGATCCGAAGTGCCCTGTACTTTGAACCTAGGTGACTTCGTCACCGTCATTCAGCCTTGGGAGTGAAAGGAGTTACGGAGGAAAGTGCCAGGTAAAGTTAATGCCCTGGGCCCTGAGTACAAATAGAGTTGTTTTCAGACCAGACCAGTCCTATTCCGTTGGTCTTCGGTTCTGCTGGGGTGTTTCCCGTTTGGGTGGAAAGATACTGCTTAAAGAAAAGTCATAGTAAATCGATGTGTAATCACTTGAGTTTCAGTTAACTTTGTCAACCTCTACCCACTAAAGCCATAGATAACTAGTCAAATTAACTTTGAAAGAAAGTTTTATATTTAGGTATAAATTCATTTTAAGTCTTTTCTCTCTTTTCTAGTAGTAATTAAGATCACTTCAGAAGTCCAACCATTTTCTTTTTTTTTTTAAGAATTATTTAACTTTATTCATTTATTTTTAGTTTGATTAGAGAGGGAGAGAGAGAGAGGGAGGGAGGGGAAGAGAGAGAGGGAGGGAGGGAGGGGGGAGGAGAGAGAGAGAGAGAGAGAGAACAAGCAAGCTGTCAGGTCCGGGTCTTGAACCCTGATTGGCCATGTGGGAGTCCAATGTCCTTAATCACCACACCACCTGAGTCCCCAGTCTAGCCATTTTCAATTGACTAATTGAATTTGAGAATTAGATGGGAACTTGTTTTTTTCTAACCCAAATATCTCATCTTATTGATGAGAAAATTGAGCATCGGAGAGATTAAACTATTTTGCCAAGATCAAAAAGATCAGAAGTAATTGAAGATTTTACTTTTTATTGAAAAGTAGCACACTTAATTGTCCAGTAACAAATACACCTGATTGGAAAGAACTCAGTTTATTTGGAATTTTCTTTTTCAATTAGGTATGTATAAAATGGCTAAAATTAGAATATTGAAAAGCTATTGTAGGGACAGCCTTTTAGAATACTATTGACATATATTTGATATATCAATACTATATTAAGGTGACATATTATTTTGTTTCTTTGATTTTAGTTCTAAGATAGATTATTTAAAGTATTTCCTGGGCTGGCTGGTGGCCTAGTGGTTGGGAGAACTGGATTCCACATACATGGCAGACTATTGGTTGGAGTACCAAACTGGTGGTTTGAAAAACATGCCAGGGGACCAGCAGTTAGTGTAATGGCTATGTCTCTGGACTCCCATGTAGTCAACTGTGGTTCGAGTCCTGGACCCGGTGGCTTAAACTCACGCCAGGCGCGTGTGCGTGCGTGCCCAAGATCCCGAGAGGAGAATGGAGAAGAAGGGATTGCAGCGTGGCCATCCCCCCTGGGGGGTGATTTCTTGCTTTCTGTCTCTCTGTCTCTCTCTGTCTCTCTGGCAAGTGCACGTGCCCTACAGCAAACCCCTCCCCCCAAAAAAATGCCAGAAAAATACCAAGTGGGTGGAGAAATAGGGGATTGCAATGTGACCATGCCCCATTTAGGGATCCTTTCTCCCTTTCCCTTTCTGTCTTCATCTCTCACTGGCCAGTACACCTTCTGGCTCTCACTGGCCAGTACACCTTCTGGCAAATTAAAAAGAAAATCTCCGATTATAAATTTTATCAAAAAGTGGGATTTTTTTTGAATGTTCTTTTGTGTTTTGTATTACCTTTTTTTCTTTGAAATAAAGACTAATGTATTAAATTTCCATTCTAATAGTGTATGAATAATATTTACTTGGTTTTATGCTGTATACAAACATATGCTGATATTAGTAGAGAGAGGGCTTGTCAAATAATGTTGTTTTATTAACCTTTAGTTTGTAAATTATTTTATTTTATATATGCCTTTTTTTTTTTTTTTGAGAGGTTTTTGCTATAGGGCGCATGCGCTTGCCAGACAGACAGAGAGAGACAGAGAGACAGAAAGCGAGAAATCGCCCCCCAGGGGGATGGTCGTGCTGCAATCCCTTCTCCTCCATTCTCCTCTTGGGATTTTGGGCATGCACGCACACGTGCCCAGAGTGAGTTTTAAGCCACTGGGTCCAGAACGCGAACCGCAGTCGACTACGTGGGAGTCCAGCGACATAGCCATTACGCTAACTGCTGGTTCCCAAAATCAGACAAATTTTGTACTTAAATTAGTGATATTCTAAGATTGGAAAATTCATGGGGCCAGCAGGTTGTGTGGTAGTTAAGGTGCTGGATTCGCACATGGCCAACCACGGTTTCGTTCCGGACCTGGTGGCTTGCTTTCTCACTTTCCCTCTCTTTTCTCTCTGTTTGTCTCTTTGGTCAAAATAATAATATAAACATAAATAAATAAATAAATAAATAAATAAATAAATAATTCTTTAAAAAAGATTGAAAATTTCCTGCTTTGAAATGGTGATGGAAATCAGGGAGGTGTTGTGTATGACCATGTAATTGACCAATTAAGAAGAGGTGGAAATTTCTTCAAAATACTGTTGGAAAATGAGAATGTAAGAAATACAGTGGATGTGATTAGCAAGTCAAGTATGATTTTAGAACAGAGAGATTGAGAGGAAAAAACGTGAGGAAGAGGAAGGTAATAGTGCTTAAATATCATGCAGGTGATACTTAGTATGTGGAATTGCAATCCAGCCTGTTACCTGCTTCACATATACAGAAACTTAAACCTGGCAGTTGCTTGTATATGAATGCTAGGACTCCTAGAACCTTTCTCAGTGAGATTCACTATTGGTCCTAAGGCTGTGTTTCTCAGGACCATTCTGTATTCTTAAAGCGTTATTGCGGATTCAAAGGAAAAAACAGGTTTAGTAGAAGACAGGTAGGCTTTCATATCTATTTTTTTCAGACTACTGTGATATATTGTTTCAGTTCAACTTTATGAAGGAAATTTGGCATCATATCGTATGTAATTAGAAAAAGAAGAGATGTGTTAATAGCTTTTTCAGATAACTGCATATTCTTTTTTTTTAAAAGAATTATTTTATTTAACTTTGTTTATTTATTTTAATTTGACCAGAGAGCAACAGAGTGAGAGAGAGAAAGAGAGGGAAGGTGAGAAAGCAAGCCACCAGGTCCAGTACTGGAACCGTGGTCGACCATGTGGGAATCCAGTACTTTTAACCACCATGCCACCTGCTGGCCCCAGATAACTGCATATTCTTTGATTCTACATTAAAACTATAGTTTTTTTTTTTCTTAAAGATTATTTTATCAATTAACAGAAGCACTGAGATGTTTAGGGTTTTATAAAAATTATTTTACTTAACTTTATTTATTCATTCATTTATTTCATTTTAATTTGACCAGAGAGGGACAGAGCGAGAGAGAAAGAGAGAGGGAAAGTGAGAGAGCAAGCCACCAGGTTCAGGACTTGAACCGTGGTCAGCCATGTGGGAGTCGAGTGCCCTTAACCACCACGCCACCTGCCAGCCCCACTATAGTTTTTTTTTTTTTCTTTTTAATCACTTTTTTTGGTTTGTTTAGTTTTTTGCTGTAGGACAATGTGTTTGCCAGAGAGAGAGAGAAAGTGAGAAATCACCTCTTCCCCCAGGGGGGATGGCCATATCTCAGTCCCTTTTCTGTTCTTCTCTCTGGATTTTGGGCACACACACACAGTGCCTGGTGTGTTTTTCATGCAGCCAGTCTGGTACTCAAACCATGCAGTTGACTATGTGGGATCCAGTGCCTTACCCACTAGGCCATCTGCTGGCCCTAAATCATCACTCTTTTTTAATTAAATTTTTTTTTAAATTGGCTTTAAGGTGCACACACTTGCTGGGAAGGGAGGGAGAGAGAGAAAGAGAATGTGAGAAAACAAGAAAGCAAGAAAACAAGTGGGGATGACCAAGCTACAGGTCCAAAACTCAAATCACACTGTAGACCATGTGGGATCCAGCCACTCCAACCACCATACCACCTTGCTGGCCCCAAAACTATATAGAATTTTAATTGGCAAATTAAGGGTTAATTGCAATGTGGTATCTTAAACCTTACAAGAGAAATTTTTGTATTCTGTTACATTAAAACAGGATTGAACTGGATCATCCATCGATAGTATTCTTAACATAAATTGACCACTTATGAGCTATTGCTTCACTGGTGTGTAGCCTCTAAATGTTGACACATTTTATTATACTGTATGTGTAAAATCACATTAGCTGGGCTGGCTTGGTGGTGTAGCTGAAACATGGTGCTTAGGTGATCCCAGATCGACGTGGAAGATTGCTGGTTCTATTCCTCAGTCGACTTTATATACCAGGCCTGCACATCTATGTCCTGGCTTACTGGGAAAGCTGGGGATGGGGTGGCTGTGGGGTGTGTTACTTGTCTTTCTCTGTCTCATGAAAGAAAGAAACCTATTTATTTATTTTATTTTCTAGAGGGCATATGCACTAACTGGTGAGAAAGACAGAGAAAGAGGAAAAGTAAGAAGGCACCCCCTCTTGGGACCAGCAGTTAGCATAATGGCTATGTTGCTGAACTCCCACGTAGTCGACCGTGGTTCAAGTCCCGGACCCAGTAGCTTAAAACTCACGCTGGGTGCATGTGCGTGCGTGCCTAGGATCCCGAGAGGAGAATGGAGGAGAGGGGATTGCGATGTGGGCATCCCCCAGGGGGTGATTTCTCGCTTCCTGTCTCTCTGTCTTTCTCATGAGTGCACGTGCCCTATAGCAAAAACCTCTCTAAAAAAAAAAAAAAAGAAAGCACCCCCTCTTCCCCATTCCCCCATGGGGAATGATCACACCACAATCCCTTCTCCATTTTTTCCTTCTGTGGGATTTGGGGCACACATGCACATGTACCTGGTGTGTTTTTACAACCTTCAAGGCTAGGATTCAAACTACATAGTCAGACATGTAGGATCCAGTCATCTAAACCACCACACTACCAAGTGGCTCTGAAATAAATAAACTTTAAAAAAATCATTAATATCAACAATGATCTCATTAGAAAAATCTTTACATATTAGGAAACTGTCAAGCTCACAGTTGTTGAGAGGTTTCCAAAAATTTTAATATTTGCTTGAAAGCTCAAATTTTATCATTGCCAACAAATACTATAGCTGTTTTTTATGAGATAAGGTGTTAGACTTATGTATCTTTTAGAAAATGATTGTTAAATACCGAAGTACTAGTTTTGTACTGTCCTTTGGGGAATCAAGAAAATAGTCACTAAAATTGTTTTTTGCATGTGTTTTGTGTTTCAAGTGAACAATCATTATCAGTCAAGTATGTTTTAGAGGATATTTTAATGCTTTCTGGAGATCCATTTATTTTTATTTATTTTTAAAAAGTTTATTCTGTAAGCGAGAGAGCACATTCAATAGGGTTTTGATACTGTGATCTGCCTCCAACCTTCAGTCCAAGACCACAAGGATGCTTGTGCCTACTTTACTCGGGAAGTCCTCTGGTGTGAGCCTAGAACTTTCCTATGTAGTTTAACCTCACACAGCTGCATTTCACCACTGCACCATCATCTGGCCTCTTGGAGAAGCATTTTAGGTTAGAAGTGCAATTAATTAAAAAATTTCATTTGGTTTGTATTCTGCAGAAATAATGGGAAGGATTGACTTTAAAATTTACAGTATATTTGTGTCTGTAGCATGGAAGTTGCTACTAAAAACTAGATTCCCCCTGATCCCAGGTTGTTTTTCCTTTTGTTGTTGCCCATATTAGAACTGCTTGACATTTCCTTCTTACTGTTTTAGACTCTTGTTTTATCATTGCCCTTTAACAGCTACTTTTCCTTTAAAGTTCATATAATCTTTCTGAAAACTGTCTGCTATATTTACCTTCAAGATAGTCTTTTCTAGGCCTAGCCAGGTAGCTTGGTAGCAAACTAAGCTATGGTGCTAGTCCTATGGTTTAGTGGTTAAATGAGGTGGATTCCACATGACCAACCACATTTTGAATCTGGCCCTAGTGGCTTGAAAAACATGCTGGTCAAGATAGTAGGAAGGGTAAGTGTAAATATCAGAGTCCATAAGGGAGAGGAATGGATGGTAGAGGATGGGGGGGGCAAAGGGAAGAAACACTTAGCAAAGCCCTATTGAAAATGATGTACGTGATAATATTCTTGATTTGATTATCACATAAATTAAAAAAATAGAAAAGAAACACACGCTAGGTGTGTGTGTAGTGCCCAACATCCTGACGGGATGGAAATATGGGAGGAGGGATGGTAACATGATTACACCTCATTCGAGTGCTTTCTCCCTCTCTAGTTCTCTGTTACAGTCTGGAGAGCACACGTGCCCTCTGGCAGCTGAAAGAAAAAAATCTAAATTAAGTTTATGCAGAAGAGGTTGAATGATACATAAAATAGGGAGGAACACTTCTTATCATATATTTTATTTATTGTACCACAAATATGCAATATTTTCACAGTGAAAAAAATTACTTGTCTAAAGTAGGAGTACCCAGTTTTAGGAAAATCTTTTTGTTATGCACCATTAAACATTATCTTCTGGAGTGTTTAGTGAGAACTTTTTATTTTCTGCATAGAAAATCCTGTGAGGTTTAGAATTTTATGATTCCAGTATCTGTTTATTAGAATAATGTAACTTAGGATCATTATTGTGGTGTGGTTAAAGTGGCTGAATCCCGCATAGCTAATTGCACAGTATATTGCACGGTTCAAGTCCTGAACTCGATGGCTTGCAAAATGAACTGGGCACGTGTGTATTTGTGCCCAAAATCCTGAAAGGAGGGAGAAATGGAGGAGAGGGGATTTTTGTGTGAACATCCCCCCGCCCTATAGGGGGTATTCTCTTATTTTCTGTCTCTCTGTTTCTGTTTGGTGAGTACACATACTCTCAGGCAAATTTAAAAAAATATATATTGTTAAATGTGGGAAAAAGGTACTTATTTTGAATCTTAAGAGGCTCCTGGATTTTTAAAATATCTTTTAATTTTGTTACAGAAATAAGAATCAAGCTTTACAATGACAACCTATTTGGAATTCATCCAACAAAATGAAGAAAGAGATGGAGTCCGATTTAGTTGGAATGTTTGGCCATCAAGTAGATTGGAAGCTACAAGAATGGTTGTCCCAGTGGCAGCCCTATTTACACCACTGAAGGAGAGACCTGATTTACCACCTATTCAATATGAACCTGTTCTGTGTAGCAGGACCACTTGCCGTGCAGTTTTGAATCCTTTATGGTAATTAAAATATATGGAAAAAACTAATGTGACACTATGATTTGGAAATGAGCTTTTTTCTTGCTCATTTATATAAAAATTACTTTGTTTTTTGTTTATTTATTTTTTACAAGTTATAATTTAATGTAATAGTCAAATTCAAAGAACTTTAAAATTTCAGGATTATTCTTTTAGGTCATTGGGAAAGTCTTGAAATATTTTTCTGTTGACCCAATAGTTGTAGTGAGTTGATGATGTAAAGAACCCAGGCCAGAAAGTGGCGTGTTGCTTAAGATAGCTGGATCGTACATGGCCGAATGTGTGGTTTGAATCATGTACCCTGAAGCTGGGAAAAACTCACCAGGCATGTGTTTGTACATGTGCAAAGTCCCAAAGGGAGAGGTGGCGGAGGAGGGACGGTAATGTGCCAGCTCTCATGGGGAGTGCTTTCTCATTTTCCCTTTCTATTTCACTTTGGCTGTCTCTAGTGAATACATGCATCCTCTAGTAATATTAAACAAAATAGGAAGAGACCAAATGTAAAAGTGTCACTATAAAAACCTCTGGAGGTCCTATCAGTGTATTCTAGATACTAGTTCTACCTGTACATCAATACATTTTGTGTCATTAGAAAAGTAAAAATTAAGGGTCAGCAGGTGGTATAGTGGTTGAAGTGCTAGACTCCCACATACCCAACTGTTGTTTGAGTCCTGACTTGCTGGTTTACTTTCTCATTTTACCTCTCTTTCTGTCTCTGGTGAACACATATGCCCTATAATGAACTTAAAATAATAATAATAATTAATAAAATAAATAATTAAAAAAAGAAAAGTAATAATTGAGTGGCATGGTGTTTGAAAAACACTATGATTTCTTGTTGCTTAAGCGAAAAATCTCAGGAATCAT